TAATTGCCCAAATTCACAATTTACAGCCCAATTTACATATAACCCTAGCTGCCTAGCAGAAAGACATTTTACTTTCAGTCCCTTTTTTGCTTGCCACTTCTTGCAAATTCTGAATTAGGGATTTCCCATTCCTCTCTCGCCTCTCGGTTGACTTTCCTCTCCTCTAATCCTCTGCCACACTCTTCACTCATGCTCAAACTCTGCCCTTATCTCCACAGCCCACTGTGAAGTGTGAATCGGTGCTTCCGGCTTCCCTTCAGCTCTCACCTCTCACCGTGCAACTCACCGCAACCCTTGGCCCTTGCTGCCCTGCAACTCACCGCTCACCTCCAGTTGAGCTCCAAGGCTGCTACTGGGTCGTCTCAGCTAGCCTCTCACCGTGGCGGGAACTCCAAATACCCGTGGGGACCTATTATTCCCCGCGGGGATGGGGACGGAGGCAATTTTTGACCCTCCGCCAAAAATCCCCGTGGGGATCCCCGTACCCGCCATTGATGGGGATGGGGATGAGGAGGGAGTCCCCGCCTCCGTGGGGACCGTTGCCATCCTTAAACCCCATCAAGCTCGTGCCTTGAGCAAAGCTACCGGTAGCTGTTGAGGTGATGTGCGTCACTCCCCTGCCATTTAATTTGTTTCCTTGAGGAAGCAATGCTGGGGATTAAACTATTCGTCGGCAGCGATTATCTTGCTAAACATTAAAGAAATTGAAGCAATTCGTCAAAGCCCAAATACTATTGAATGTGTTTTTTCTAAGGTTTAAGCTCTTAAATCATTACTTACTAGTTTTCCTCGTTCCCCTCTTTGAATTTCAGAGTTTCTCTTTCTAGTCAATATCCTTACTTTTGTTTTTTAGAAACCATAACCAAGGCAGCGGCTTAATCTTTGATGGGATGCTATTTCTGTTTGGGAATGGAAATCTGAGTAGAGAGAGAATGGACCCAACAAGTGGTGGTTATTGGGTTTGAGTTCTTGATGCAACGGCAACAGGGCTCACCCAGTGAAAATTAACTTTACCTATGAAATTGTTTAATTTTAGATTACTAAACGAGTCATAAAATGGGCCAAAGAAAATTGTCTCTCATGCCAAAGATAACAGATGATAGAGAAAAATGAAAATTTTCGAATAGAACATTTGACTGAGAGAGGAGGAAGTGGACTAAGGATGAGAGAGAAATTGTTTATTTTATTTTAGATTTTTAATTTATAAAAAAAATAGAAAAAACCAATTTTTCCTGGTTGTCAGTTTTGTAGTCAAAATATCTCTCAATTTTTTCAACCTGGCTAAAGCAGCGGTGAAGTGTCCAAGCAAGTGCTAAGGGGCGTGTGTCCCTAGCACTGCTCTATCAAAATATGGTTGTTGTATGGCAGGTATGCTTCCTACATCCTCTTGTAGTCTAATTGATTATCATTATCACATAGTCTAGCATGCTACTCTAGCTTTAGAAGGAATGTGTAACTAATGCATTCCCAAAAAAGTTGCTTGCATTTGTGGTTCTCTATTGAAAATATGTCATCTTTATATTTTTAAGAATGTGACAGGTATGTGTTGACCATGTATTGGAGATCTATGAAGAGAGTTATTGGATTAAATGTGAAAAACATGATCGTAAAGTTCTGCTACACCTTTTGATAGAAGAATTGCTTCAAACCAAAATGGTATCAGAGCTGTGTCAGTGATAATATCTTCTGAGAGTAGAATCTTGCATGCATAAGGTGTGACTGTGTGAGTCTTTATGTTATGCAAGCATCACTCCTTTTCATAATATTGCATAGAGTATGCAAATGTTTGAATTCATTATTATGCACCATATAAATGTTTGAATCTATAACTTGGAAATATATCATAATTTAAAACTTTAACATAATAAATTAGGATTCATAATTAGTTGTTTATGATTTATGACGTGATAAGATATTCCACCTTAGTGGAGTATTAGGAGACGATTACTATCATCATTCTACGTCAATCTTTATCTATGCTTGTTGTTTTCAAAGCGATAGTTTTGCCTTTATTTTGATAAATCATTATTGCCCATCTCTTGGTTTGTCCTCTAGATGGGATGCCAGTGGAAAACTTTGATTCCTCAATTCTATGATAAAAACAACAAACAATAAAAAGCAGCAAGAGAAAAGTTGAAATCCTACAATGAAAACATACTACCAACTTATGTAATATGATTAAAAATTTTTTGATGTTGAAAGCCACTTTGTCCACTAGAGTTTATTAAATTTACATCATCTCTCTTTACCTTTGTTATTGTTTTCTTTTATGTGATTAAATAATATTTTGAATCAGTTTAAATAAATCAGACTAAATTTAAATTTTGTAATTATTAGATTCAAGTGTGTCTACTATAGATTTAAACATAATTAGTTTTCCACAGGACCTAACTCCTTGCACCGATGGTTCCACCATTGCTTGTGACCTCTATTGATAATTGAGTATAAACCAACAAGATGAAAGGTGAACTCTCTGTTGCTCGAGGTATTTGGCTTTGTTTGTTTTGCTTAGCTTATGGACATTACCAAATCATCATAATTTAAGCAAATTGATTGCATTATTGTCTTAATAATCCCGTTACTTTCTGGGGAGGTGATTTGTTTATGGTTCAAGGAAAGATCTATGGATGGAAAACAAGCCAAACGACAGTGCTCAAGGTATATTTAGTGGAAAATGGATCATCATTAGGCACATATCCCATGGAAACTAACTCCCATTTTCTCAAATTTTTTATGAGAGGTACATTACGTTGAACAGTAAATTTTGCATCAGGCTCTGTTTGTGGGCATAGGAGAGTATCCGAAACATCCTAATCTTAAAATAGATAAGCTTTCTAAAATGGATAAGCTTAGAAAGCTTTAAGTTACTCCCTCCATTTTTAAAATAATAGATATTTTTTATTTTATTTATAAATTAAAATTTTAGAGTAATTTTATTTATTATTTTATCTTTTAAAAAATAAAAATAAAGAACCCTTTTCATAATGAAAAATAATTAAAATTAGAAGATAATTATAAAGTTAAAGTAAGAAAAAAAATATGTTTTCCTATAAATATAAAAAATAACTACAGTATTATTTTTAGAGAAATTTTAAATTAAAAAACACATATTATTTTGAAATACAGATAATATGTTATTCTAAGTATAAGAGTAAAAACAAAAATATTTAATAATGACTCATGTACAAATTTTTTAATATTTTATAGAATGTAACATAATAATAAATCAGCACATGTCTATTGATTTAAACGAGTGGAGGCTATGTGCCATTAGTATATTTCACCAACTACCATTAGCTACTAATCATCGGTTATTAATTATCAAACGTGTTTCATCTTTTTTAATTGGTTAAAATACTAAATTTGGCCCCTGAACTTTCAAATTTGTACTAACAATATCCTTAAACTTCACAAACTTCAAATTTGAACTTAATTTTTCAATACAAATTTCGTCCTTCGGTGAATGAAAATGACAGACGGTAGGATAACTAATATCACACTACACAATAG